AGGAACGTCAAGATTTCTACGGCATGGTTGAGTATGGAGGATTATGCCACACTACTAGCCTGTGCAGATCTGGGAGTATGTTTGCACATGAGCAGCAGTGGTGTCGACCTTCCCATGAAAGTAGTCGATATGTTTGGAGCGGGACTACCCGTTGTTGGCTATGGTAGTTATGCAAGCTGGAGCGAACTGGTCACTGATGGGGTGAATGGCAGAAGCTTTGAAACCCCTAAAGACTTAGCACTCGCGCTAGAAACACTTTTCAGCGAAAACGATGGTCGGCAACTGGCAAAGCTCAGAAGTGGTGCCATGAAAGAAGGAAGTAGACGTTGGGACGATGAATGGCAGCCTGTAGAGACAATTCTACGGTTGTGGGATACAATGGAAATAGAGCTGCGCTCGCTGCTGAACACTCTGCCTCCGGAGGAGCTCAAGAAAGAGCTACATCAGATTAGTCTGAGCAGGAACAAGAAAGATAATGGGGATGTGGCCAGCAGTCAAGTTGGGGCTAATTCTACCACCAGGAGCAGAAATATACAAAGACAGTCATGACTGATTCTACGAATGAAGCTCTACTCATGAATATCTCTCTGCTGGAATAACAGCTCAGGTATGTGTGGAAGTGCGTCGAGCACTTGACTAAGCTGGAGTGGGTCGGCCAAATCGGCCGGCTAACCCCGCTTGGCGGAAGCGGCATATAGATATGTAGATTGCGACCACACCTCTAATATTCCAAACCTAATGGTAATACGACATATTGTCACAACCCACTTCGTACCTGTGCAAATACTATCCACAATTTGTCAACAGAGAAGAGCTCCAATTAAACCGTCACGTGATGTGTTGACAAAAACTCAGTGGAGATTTGTGGAGAGTGAGCCAACCGCCAAACTCTCCTTTGCCTTGAGACCCCACTTCCCAGAGAACTGAATGGAACTGAACCATGCTTATAACAACTTGGAAAGCTAACCGTGGCAATCTGCATACGAGACCTGACTTCTGACAATATTTACAACTGAATTCGTTTCAATACCAGTCCAAGGAAGCTGCCGCGTGATCTGAACTCGCCAATCTCGTCAAGCGTGATAGTAGAATGCCGAGTCCTGTCGACTCGACGCAGCCAGTTCAAAGGAGGAAGAGAGCTTGTCAAAGATGTCGGCACAGAAAGCAGAGGTGCAACTTTGAAACTCCTTGTCATAATTGCTCCTCCGCTGGCTTAGGTAGGTGCAATACAATCTCAATGAAGACTCTTGCTTTTACTGATGGAGATCAAGAATGTACTTTGGTAATTCAAGAGCCTCATCAGAACTACCCAATCGGCTACGTCTGTGCTTTAGAAAATCATGCAGCAATGCTGGAGAATACTCTCAACAAGCAATTTCCTGGAATGGCTGTCGATCATCTAGATGCAGTCAAGATTCGCCAATGTTCCTCATCGTCAACTATGAATCCGCTTCAGATGTTACCGTCATCTAGCAATAGCACTTCTATGACACCGCCGAGCTTGTTGCCAGAGACGGAAAGAATACAGCCCTGGCAGCAGGCTCCACATGCAATTATGGAACCGTCTAGAGAGCTCATGATGGACTCTCATCCTAGTCCTCCCGATTTTGCTGCCCTTCCCGCTCAGATGCCATCTGCCTCTCCTTCTAGGGCGACGGGCAAGAAGAGCGAAATTGTTTCCACAACACCTGAGAGGATAGATGAGATACCTACAGCAGCTGCTGCTTCTTTCTTCCGGACCTATTTCCAATGTGTTCATCCTCAATATCCATTCTTAAGCATATCGGATTGTGACACATGGTACACAGATTGGTATTCTCGACCTACTGTTCACCACAGATAGCGAAGTCTTGATGCGGTCCAGGTCAACACTAACAAAACATCAGGAAAATGGCTCCGCCAGGAGATCCTATCAGTGGCTGGCCAGCATTTTTTGTGAAAATGGTAAGATAAACAGGAAGCTTATAAGAACCATCTGATCTAATCTAGATATTCGCGATTGGGTCACTGATACAATCTAAATCTTACAATGCACCTCGATACCAGCATCAAGATTTGAAGTCCCAAGCTCAAAGCGAGGATTCGATAATCAGAAATACTCGGTCGTCCTCCTTAATCAGACTGCAAGCCATGTTGGCTTCGGCAATGCATGCTTTGCATTCTGAATCCACGGCCAGGATCGCACATATTAGCGGGGCGATCATGAGGTTTGCTACTTTACATGGCTTCCACCAGCTCATTGATCTGAGGGATGCAGAATCAGAAGTCAAGATACGAACATGGTCGTGCGCTTACGTGTTCGTTCTCCCCACATCTTAGGCATATCAGAACTTGGCCACTGACAGAACATTAAAGACTTGATAGGGCGGTGAGTGCAACACTGGGTGTACCTGTTGGCCTTGCCGATATCTACATCTCCTCGAATTTGTACGTGAACAGGGAGCAGCCTCTTTGCCACTTGGCTTGGCTTGACGATGCACCTCATTCAGAAGATTCAGATCTTGTACTTTCCTTGGGAAGTTTTGGGCACATATGCAAGGTCCGCTTGCTGCAGTCTTATATCATGCATACAATGGAAGCTGTCCCACTCGGTAGGTCTTGTTCTCATTCGATACTTCTGTGATTTTGTGGAGAAAGCTGACCGGTCATTCTACAGAGGGAGGTGCCACGCCAGAATGGGTAGAGAGTATGAGACAACAGATTGAAGGATGGACAAGTGAAATTTTCCTACACAGGTAAGTTGGTACACATTCTGTCCGACTCATCACGACTCACAGTTCTCCCCAGCGTAGCAAACACCGAAGGATACCAGAGTCCCGACTGGCTTGGGCTTATTGGTCAACTCTCCAAAATACTTCTTTGCCGCCCTTCACGTCATAACATCAAGACAAGTGTGAGCGACGTAGCTCTCAAAGCATCCTGTGAAGCTTGCACTACCTTCCGTGCTCTCCAGAAGAAGCGCCGGATCGCACAGCCATGGCTCGTTGTATGTACTTTTCTATCTCCACTCTATCATACACCCACTCATACTCCGCAGGTCATAACACAATTTCAAGCTGGTGTAACCATCCTCTACATAATTTGGGCACGTGCAGTAGCCATGCCGAAGGAAGCTGACCTGGCAATACGAGATTGTACTTCAGTACTAGCCATTTTAGCAGATCGATGGAAGAACGCTGAGCATTATCGAGACTGCTTCGAGGTGTTGGCAAGAGCGATTGGTCCGATTCCTGGGTTTCTGGATCCGGGTGCTAAGCAGGAACTTGCAGTGTTGACCGAGAAGGTAACGGAAACTGGTATCCACCGACATGTTACGACGATGTTATGGGAGATGGTGTTGTCGGTAGCTGATGAGGATATGGAAATATAGATCACGGCCTTTTGGGGGGGGGGCATGGCTCAATGTTGCCGATATTGATTCGCAGAACTAATGACTATACTTTGAGAATTGGTTATCATTATGCAGCTGTAGGATACAGTTTCCTCTGGAATCCTTCTATAGTGGCATATGTAGCATCTATAGAATAGACGCGTGTTTTTCTAATCTGGTTAAACTTATGTCTTGAATTAAGTAAGATAACGTAGAGCATAGGCGAACCTGCAAAACAAGCGAACCGGCAAAAATCCCCAAATATTCTACCTTCCCACTTCCAAAATCAATTCAATCAGCTTTAATATGTCTCGCCAGAAGGATGAAAACAAATTAAATCTTACTATCCAAACCTTGAAAATGATCCAAATCCCAGATCTATATATAAGGTTGATCACCGTAAACTATTCAGAATACTGCACGGTGTACCTCCCCGACACGCTATCCTGGCTAATTTTCGGAAAATGACAAATATAGAGAAGGATGTCCTAGTTGAACATAATCTTGACCTAGCTGCAAGAGATTTTCTTCTAGACTGTGTTGTGTAAAAGATATGGCAAATCGTGTCCTCGCGATGCGCAATGGAGGACGAGCCGGACAACGATGGACTGGAAATTTTGTACGACAACCAGAGCTCCGGACGCGTTTTCAAAAGATATACGACTCCCAGAGGGCCACGTGCGAAGATGTAGAGGTTATTCGGGTTGGTTTTCGCTTGTACGGAATACAATTGCGAAATAACGGATCTGCACTGATGTTTTCAGCTTTGACGAGACCGGGTTTATGATGGGCATTATCTCAACGGGCATGGTCATGACAAGCTCTGACGGATGAGCAAAAGCAATAATATCCAGCCTGGTAATCCAGAATGGGTTACAGTTGTCCAGGCCGCAAATTCCACAAGTTACGCGGTCCCGCCTTTTATTATTGTCGCGGGGAAAACTCATCTCGATTCTTAGTACGACGAAACCGAATTCCCACCGCATTTGAAGGCCCACGTCTCTCAAAATGGCTGAACTACGAATAAGTTAGCCATGGATTCAGAGGGGCTGGAATTGTTCCTTTCAATCCAGAGAGAGTGATCGTAAGTTACGAACTCCTAAACCACGAGTTCCTCGCATTGAACCCGCTGGAATCGATCTTTCGATTAAAACGCGCAGAGAGTTGTAGTTGTCGTACGAAGTTCGAAGTCCAGCTCTTTCCGACGCGTCCGCCGTCGCGCTCAGCGAGTAGTAGATTCGCCATATCTTCAACAGCACTACATCGAGGAAGAAACACTCGCGAATGCAAGTCAGGAATATGTCATACGACAAATCATTTTAGTTCTGTAAGCTTTTGGGCTCTATTAACAGTATCGCGACTTGGAAGTATTCTGTCTACTTTTTTGAAAGGGTCGTACGAGGCACTTTATAGAATCGTACAATTTGCAAATACTAGACTTAGGATTTTATTGTACTATCTGGACAGCCAAAAGCATGTCAGATTCATTCCATGTATAAGTAATTTGTTGTCTTATGAAAACAACATGTTCACGATTTCGTATAATGCCAAGGAAAATTGACCCGTTCGCTTCTGAACTATGCTAGTATATATAGTACACAGCCACTTGCAAGTCCCAACAACAGTCACAGATCGCTTAGCTCAGTTGGTTAGAGCGTGGTGCTAATAACGCCAAGGTCGCGAGTTCGACCCTCGTAGTGATCAACGGTTTACTTTTTGACCTTCGCGTTTTCTTTATCACATTCAGCGTTTCCGGTATTCTGTCGACATTCCTTAGGGATCAATTCCTGCTGATTATGCTTTTTACAATTCGTGTTGTGCTGAGATGCCTTCTGCTATTAATAACCCTCGAACAGTTTTTTGCTCTCCACTGAGTTTGGCGGTATACGCTGTAAGCGACTTAGGCAGCAACCGTATCAATTCGCCCCACCGTAACATCCTAGGTGGGTACATAAAGCGGGTGACTTCTGCCAAGTTTACTTTCCGGGTCCACCTCTACTAACATACTTTTTCTGTAAATAATCGTAAAAAGAATACAGAGTCAGTAAATTCACATCACACAGTCCCCTTCCCTGGCGGCTGGAAAGGCAGCTGGCACTGCCTCTCTGGTGAGCACCTGCTGTGTATACTCTTCTTATGGCCAGAGAAGAGGAAGACAGCTTGTGCTGG